ATATTCTTAAAGGAGACATTGGTCATTTAAAAGATTTGTGACTTAGCCATTCAGACAATAGAGTTAAAACATAATAGCCATAGTATTAACCAGATAAAATGAGAGATGACAGGTGTGAAAATCTGCTTTACTAGGAAAATTTCTTTTGCGGTCTATATGTATACCAATAACATCATATTGTATACCTAAAATCTCTATGATAAAATACTTATTGAAAAAAAAAGAAATGTAGAGGTAGAGAATCTGTCAAAGGGCTACCTTGTGATTCTCCCATCAGTCAAATAAGACGGCAGCAATCAGTCCATTCTACAGATAGGGGAGCTTGAGGCTGTGGAAGGTAACTGATATCCCAACAACACAATGTTGCAGAGTTTTAGATTTTTCAGAGCCAGAAAAATGTAAACAGAGGGTAAAGAATTCAAGTCCCTTGCCCACAACTGTGTTCCTTTTTTGTTTAAATTTTAATATCTGGATAATGGACATGAAAACTAGAGGAAATTGCCATCTTCTTGAGGCATGGTGGTGAGTGAGAAGGCACTGGACTGGGGATGAGGACATCTGAAACTTGTTCCCAGCTCTGTCATCTGGCGTTGGTAAAACCACGAACCCTTGTGGATTTATCTGAAAGTGGAAGGATTGGGTGAGATGGGATGCCATTTCACTCTTAACCACATAAACACGTTAAAAATCTGGTGCTTTGTAAAAATATGGAGAACAAAGTAAGGATTGTGGTGCCAAGGTTCTTGGTTGCCTGGACAAATTCTGGGAGAACTCCAGGTGCCTCCCACACAGGGCATGTGCCTACGTCATTGCCTAACTATCTGTGCAGTGGAGCGGATGAGCTTTGAGCAGCATCACCAGTGTCAAAGAGGCAAAAGGGCTTGTGATCCTCGGCTTGATCCCATTAAACTCACTAGAGTGTGACTTTGGCCATATAAAGCAAATGGGTTGGCTCTGAGCCGATCAGGATTCTGAGACTCCTCCTCAAGAAGGAGGCAAGCGGGAAACAAGATACAATGTTTTATTCAGTCCTTCTTAAGGATCTGCGTGTATGGTTCAGGGCATGATATATGACATGAAAGTAATAAAATATACATTTGAACCTGACTTCAGCTGGTGACATCATAAAGACATGGACCTGAGAATCCAAAGGTTTCACCTCCAGTCCCAAACAGGAACAGTCGTTTTGCATCTTGAGAACTGTTTTCTTCTCTCTAAAATGAGTGTTCTCAGTGGGTGATTTTGAAATGTCTTTGTAGTTCTAGCAGTGAGATTCTGTGTTGTATTAGAATTTTATGAGACAAGCCTTTGGGTTTCTTAGGGGTCAAACTACATCCTAGAAACAGATCAAGCAAATTTTGATATCCCAAACTTTGATAGAACTTCCAGGAAATTAAAATCTTATGAATAGAACTTCTGAACGTGGCCGATATGTGAAGCTGGGATTGCTGACTTTGTTCCTGAGGATGCCATGGCTAGAGAAAAATAGAATAGCTATAGCGTCTCTTAATTCAACTAAAGTTGAAACCCTTACCCAGGATTGACACATGGAAGTTTAGAGGTTTTAATTAATATTCAAAATTGACGACATTAATCAGAGTAACTAAATGAAATGCCTTCAGATCTTTTGAAAAGTTAAATTGATTTATGTGAGCATTTGACCAATCTCTCTGCGTATGTGGAATCCAATCTCCATTCCCAGGGACACTCCACTAATAATTGGGTCTTATTGAAATTTGGATATCACACTTTTATTATTAAGGTTCAAAACTTAGCTTTTAGGGTACTCAAATCATGCTAATATATCCTTTTTTTCTGAATATTCCCTATTATCAACCTGAAGTTTGCATTATATATATTTTTTCTATCTACTGTTTCACTTGTTCATCACAACAATCATGTCTTATAAGATAGAGGTAAAGTGATGTCTCCATTTTAAAGAGAAAAAATGGAGATTCGGGTTCCAGGGTCACATGTCTAAAAGTGGCCATACTCTCAATTTTCTACATTTCCCATCACCAGTGAATGGACTGGTTCTGCCTCTCAAAGGGCATCCTTGCTGAAGGGTAGTGTGTAGGTGCCAGCTAAATGGTATCCCATCATAGGAATTCCTCAGAAAAAGAGAAAGTGAATGATTAGTGATTAAGCTCATGAATAATTGCATGATACTTTGGAGAATAATATTTTTTATGTGGCCATACAGTTTTGTTAATATTTTGATACACATAAAATACTTGAGAGGTGATCAGGTAGATAAAATGAATGCAGAGCGGAAGAGAATGAAAACCGGAAAAAAAACAACACCCAGGAAAATCAGAAGACTCTAGAGCAAGAATAACCAAAGAAAATTAGCTACAGGCCAGTTACATTGCCCCTGAGCGTGGTGTATTTCCTGAAAGTTCAAATTTCTCAATTTATATATCCAGTTCAATGCTGTCCCCTTCAAAGAAGTCATCTTGAGAGGTTATATACTTGTTCCATTCATGCTGCTTGTTAATTGAATTATTTCTGGAACTTCTCTTTTATAATTGCCTTCTGAAAATGGAAACTTTCTTTTCAGTATTCTTAATGGTGTTTTAGATAAAGTCAGAATTATTCAGAGCCATGTCTAATGAAAAGATGAGTGCTTAAGCCAGGTAATTTATTTCCTTCCCTTTCTTCTTTCCTCCTTTGCTCTCCAACCTCCTCCCCTCCCTTCCTTCCTTCTTTCCTTCCTTCAAAAAAGAGATGGGGCCAAATTATTTTGTGTTACTCATAATCCTTCTCTGAAGATTTACAGAAATTATTCAAATTTATGCAATATAGTTATAGTTTAGAGCATTTTTTCTAAGTGAATGCTGTTGGTTGCTTAAATCAATTTTGTTGGTTTAAAATATTCTGTCTTGTTTTTAATTATAGCACCTAAAATGAATTCTCTCAGGCTTTTGGTTGGGGGACTGGTGGTGTTGCCAGCTACAGGAGACCTGCATATTGTCTTCAAACTAGTGTTGGGCTTGGGCAAGTAGCTCTGAGCTAAGAGATGAGGAATGGGGATGATGCTGGATGGGGCATTGAGTTGGATTATGGGTGCTACACTTTACTGATTGGAGACGTCCAGAGAGAGGAGACAAGATCCTAGAGGGGGGAACATGAAGCCATGGTGCACGTTGACTATGTAATATAGATGGGAATGTTGAACTTGATGTTGCATATAAGAATCAAGGTGGGATGGTAGAAAGGATTGAATCTGAAGGTATTGCTGAAAATTATTACTTCTGCTTCCAGTTATCTGTAACATTTGGTGAATAATTTAACCTCTCTGCACTGTTTGCAAACCCACTATGTTGAAATTATAGAACTGAATGAGGATAAGGCTTCCTTAAAAATTAAAACTGATATAAGGGATAAATGATATCCTGAAAAACTTCTGTGTAGAAGATGGGATAGAATATCCAAAGAGAAAAGATGTGTCAGATGGTTGCAGAGGAGTAGATTTCAGCTTCGTGAAAGACCTATTCAGTTGTGAGGTGGCTATTTTGAGAAAGGAGGAGTGGTAGTAAGTTCCCAACTGATGGAAGTACTCAAGAACATTGACGGCGGGCATAAAGTGTTAAGAAGTGGTGGGTACTGATTTCTTAAGGTCTCTTTCAGTTCTAAGATTCTTAGAATCCATACTCTTTTGAGGTCTTCCGTATTCTTGGTTGCATTTATAAAGCTGGATAAGATCAAGGAATGACAGGACTTAAAATCCAAGGCAGTTCTAGAAGTCATAAGTGGCCCATGAGTGTTTGGTTTATGCTGTCTAAACATGTTTATGATTGCCAGAAGGATATGCCTGCTAGCAACTTTGTTGTTTAACCTAATGTTACCTGGAAGAATCAAAGAAGAGTCTCCTAGTTTCACTGAATCAGAGGACTTAAAAGAAGGACATTTCAGCTGCCTCCTCTGTCAGTCTCATCACAGTTATAAGATGCTTCTGTCTTCTCTGCAGCACTGGGTAGCAGGCTCCGAAGTAGCACATCTTCTGTGAGCAGAGAGCTGATCATTATAGATTTCTCACCCCTTATGGTAAAGGGACATCATTTGCCTTTAGCACAGTTGTGCTAATCCAGTTGTCATGAGCACTGTGATGATACACAACGCAGAAACTGCTCATCAGATCACAGCAGACAGGGGCGTGGGGTAAGCCTTGCTGCAGCTGTCGAGGAGGAAGATCATTTCATTGGTCTGGCTCTGGTAACCTCCAGAGTTTCCACTAATTTAGGCAGATGTTCCCAAGGAACTCTCTGAAGTCCCTGTCCCTCATTTTCCTACCCTTAAGATTTTCTGTTCACTTACACAGGGCAGTATCCCTGGCTTCCAGATGTATCCCATGGTACCAGATAACGGCCTACTGGATTCATCTCACAACTCTTAGAAGTTGGGCTGAGGAAGACATTAACTAATGATGAAATGTTTTAGTATCTCTAGGATGTAGTGAGACCCTATGCTCCCACATGACACCTCTCTTAACAGGAAATTATCTTGGTGCACATACCCACTTTCTTCTCTCTGCCACTTCCACACTTTAGCTCCTTTCCTGAATAATAATAATCACTAACATTTAATGAAGGTTTACTATGCACGATGCCCCTTGGTAAGTACCTAACCTAAGTTATTTCATTTAAGCCTTCCCACCTTCACAAGGTGGATTCCTTTATTTATCCGCTATTTGCAGATAAAACAAAACAAAACAAAGAAACAAAGAGGCTCAAAAAAGGCTAAGCAATTTGCTCAAAGCCATAGCTACAGATTCAACTCAAATTACTTATTTAAAATTATTGTTATCTTTCATATTACTTTTTATATGAAAACTTGATTGACTGCATTGCCTAATCAAATGGGAACTACAGGAATACCAAGGTTTATAATGATATCTGTATATCTAGCTATTGGTTTGTCTCCACCCAGCTTTATTTCTACCTATCTTGTTCGTATACCTTCTTCATTCTTTTAACCTTCCATTTATTTTATCTTCACAGGTATCTGATCAATGTCACTTTTGAGGGGAGAAATCTGTCCTTCAGTGAAGATGGCTACCAGATGCATCCAAAACTGGTGATAATCCTTCTGAACAAGGAGAGGAAGTGGGAGAGGGTAGGACATGGCTTTTTTTATTCTTGTGCAAAGCAGAGGGTAGGCCTGGCAGGTTTTGCAACACATTAAAGGAAAATAGCCCTTTGGTTTTGGTCCCTAGACCTGGGAAGCGAGAAATCATACTTTAAAGATAGAGAAGAGCTAGCAAGTTCTCAAACTTGCATCTTCATTTCCTTGCTATTTTGGTTAATTAATGGGTTGTTTTCTTTATGTATTTTAGTTTGATATTGGTAATTGCATTGCTGTTTGAGTCATGACCTTCTTTTAATGGAAGAGTATATATGTGTAATGTAATGTAATTTGGTGAAGAAACTGAGTCAGTGGTACAATTCTGAAGTTGTGTCCTACACAGGACCTCTGGAGGCCTATATAAAGACTAATTTATAAGTAGACAAAATTAGATCTTTGGTTCAGAAATGTTGCTATGCAAGACTCTGCTCAGAACCTCTCCCACTGCCATCCAGTCACAGGGTTGGAAATTCAACCATTAGAAATTAAATTCTGTGTATGTTGGATTTCACAGGTTCAACTCACTCATCTATTTAGGACCTTGAACAAATCTCTTAGCTATACTTTCATACCTAAAAAGGTACCCTGTACATAGTGAGCCCTTGGAATGTATTTTCTTTCCTTACTAGTTCAGTTTCTCAGTTAAAACAAGTCATCACTGTTTTTTCTCCAAGTGTCCTCTGCAAGGCACTTGTCACTTGAGATACCTTGCTGAAAAGTGGTTCTGTAGGGTTTCAGAGATACTGCCTACTGTGCCTCATTCTAGAAGAATCTCAGAACCCATCAGCATTTGAAAGTTCAGAGGTGTCTTAGTCAAGAAACACCTTTAATTTTATTTAATATGGCATTTCCCAAAATTATTTTGCTGCAAGACTCCTTAGTTCATGCTGTTCACATTCTGTGAAAACACATTGGAACACTGATTGAAAACAAGTCCCACAAAATCCTTGGATCAATTATTTGAGGACAGCCTTCATGCTGTCAGCATGCTTCTGACCACAATGGACACCAAGCTGTGTATTTGTAGAGAAAGTTGCCATGAAAAGAGGTGGAGACAATGTCTGAAGTTCAGAGCCTTGTCCTGGAGAGGTGTGGACAGCCAGCTGTGTAAATGCACATAGGCAAAACAGGAGGTATGTGGCTTAGGCAGTGAACACAGGACCTACTTCTTCCAAGTTCAACACCTCAGGCTCTCATCTAATTGCTTTTATCAGGACACAACTCCAAGGCTGAAACTGTCTGATGTTCTTGATTAAAGTCATCTTCCTGTCATCGAGTATACTTTGTTTAGAAATGCTCTCCATCCCAATCAGGCTGCCTTTCACTGCTGCCATGGAGTCTTAATTCCAGAAGTGTTTGGGCCCCTCATGCATAACAGGCACTTCTGGATATCTCCAGAGGAGTGGGTATTAACAACTGAGACTTCATACATGGATCCAAAGATCATCCAGCTGGGGTAGCTTTCATGCAGAAGACTCAAGATTCCTATCTCAAGTAGGTACATCTCGCAATTGTCTTTGCTTAAACAGACACACTTCCAGTCTGCTGACTTCTCTTCCTGAGGCTGGAATCTGAGGCTTGTGACCCCCATACCTTTCCATAATGAGACCCTTCCTCCTGAGATTTGAAATGCATTCCTCTTCATTTCTACCTTTACTTGCTAGCTTTTGGATTTATTATTTACTTTGTATATGAGGCAGGAACCATGTGATAAGTTTTAAACAGGACTTCTTGTCTCAGTCTCCTGCTTTATCCATTTGGTCAGTTCTACCTAAAGCTGCTAGAATGAGCTTCCTAGTGCACAGCTCTAGCATTCTTTCTCTGCCCAAACCCATTCAAGGCTTCTATGACTCATGGTTTGAGTCCATATTTGTCTGTTTTTGCATTCAAGGCTCAGGTCCGTCTTCCTAGGCCCGTCTTCTCTGCCTTGTCACTTCTGTTTCAGCATCAAGCTGTACTGGGTTTCATTCTATTCTGAGAATGTGCCCTTGTGTCTCTGACTCCTATACAAATGTTATGAAGTTTCTTTCCCCTGGAAGGAATTGTCCAGTTATCCAAATCATAACCATCCTTTGAGCCCAATTAAAATATTTCTGCCTCCTTCCCCAATCTTTGAGTTACAATCCCTCACTCCCTTCTCCCCTGTAGCTTTGGTCCATACTTCCATGAAGCACCCATCATTTTGTGTGGTGTTAGAGAGAGTTATATGTTGTAAGCCTGCAGAGGGCAGAGGCCATATCATTCTATCACTTTGTCTTCACGGCAGCCTGGAAAGGTGTATTGCATATAGCCATTCAGTAAATGTTTATGGAATGAACGAAAGCCATTATAGAATGAAATCATGAGTTCAAAACCTATCAGTAAAAATCCAAATTTATGCTTATTGCACTTGACACAATAGCTAGACTTTTTAGGAGGAGGAATAAAATCAGTATGTGGATTGAATTTTTTAAAAGATTTATTTGAAAGGCAAGGCTAAAGACAGAGAGACAGAGACAGAGAGAGAGAAAGAGAAAATCTTCTGTTGACTAGTTCACTCTCTAAATGGCTGCAGCAGCCAGACCTGGGCTGATCCAAAGCCAGGAGCCAGGAGTTTCTTCCAGGTCTCCCATGTGGGTGCAGGGGCCCAAGGATTTGGGCCATCCTCCACTGCTTTCCCAGGAGCATTAGCAGGGAGCTGGATGGAAGTGGAGCAGCTGGGACACGAATAGATTAAATTTTTATAGATCGCACATTAAATGTACTAAAAAAACTTGCTATTTAAAGACAGTCTGTAGTTAATCTTTTCATCAAGCATTTGGAGAGGAGTTGAGGAGAAGTCAATGAGTAGAAATTTTTCATATTAACTTGGTTAAATCAGGGAACATTGCTGAGGACAGATACTAGTGATGGTTGAGTTCACAGTGTCACATGGCTCCAGTGCCATACCTGGCTCCTGCTCACAGGTGAATCCTAACAAGGGCTTCCAAGTTTAGGAGCTATGTGGTGAGGTGAGGGAGGGGGCATACAGAAGAAAACCGAGTTTGTTTTGAAGAATTATATCTCCTAGGGCAGATTTGTCTTCTTGTCGCTTAGGTAAGTATCGTCTCACCAGAAGACTTCCCTGATGACCCATGCTGAACTGGCTGTCCACTCACTCCATTAGGGTTAGGCTTATGCTTAGGCTTATTTTACTATTCTAAAAAAATATTTTATATACTGAGGGAGGGAAAGAGAGGGAGAGAGAGAGAGTTATCCCTTATTAACTGGTTCATTCAAATGCCCACAGCTCAAGTTAGGAGATGAGAACTCAATAGGGTCTCTCATATGGCTGTCAGGGACTGAAGTACACAGTCCATCACCTGCTGCCCCCCAGTGTATATGCATTAGCAGGAAGCTGGAGTTGAGAATAGAGCTTAGACTCAAACCCAAGCACTTTGATATGGGATGTGGGCATCCCAAGCAGTGCCCCACCACTGCACCAAGTGTTTGCCTCATAATGTTTTATTTTAATTTTCTTCAGTAAACTTATTATCTAGTGCTCTGTTCGTTTGGTTTCTTGTTTGTTTATTGACTATCTCTTCACATGGGGTGAATGTTTCATAAAAAGAAGGGCCTTGTGCTTCTCTGTAATTCTATTCCTTAAGAAGAGTTTCTTGCTCACAGAGACCAATCAAAATATTCTTTTTAAAAAGATCTATTTATTTATTATTTCAAAGACAGAGTTACAAGGAGAGGGAGAGACAGAGAGAGAAAGAGATCTTACCTCTGCTTCTTCACTCCCCAAATGGCCTCAATAGCCAAGGCTAGACCAGGCAGAAGCCAGGAGCCTGGAATTACATCCAGGTTTCCCATGTGGCTGCAGGAGCCCAAGCACTTGGGCCAACTTCCACTGCTTTCCCAGGTGCATTAGCAAGGAGCTGGGTTGGACTTGGAATAGCTGGGACACAAACTAGTCGCCAAATGGGACACTGGCATTATAGGTGGCAGCTTAATCCACTGCACCACAGTGCCAGCCCTATATGATTTTTATATAAATGAAGAACCCATATGCTAAGAAAAGTTGGGGTATTGACAATATATTTCACTTTTGTTTGAAAAATCTCCCATTTAGACCAAGTGGTTGCTGAAGAGAGTATGAAAACAGACATCTTCCACCTTTGAAATGAGCATTCCAGTGCCAGCAAAGGACTTGAATGGGTGGTGACAGATATGTTCAGGGCAACTCAGTACAGTGGGTGCTGTGTGAATGGCTGGGACAAGGCACCATGGGCCAAGGATGATTGTATTATAGGTGTGAACCATGTGATAGTATTTCAGAATATCCCCTTGGGTTCTTAAGAGTAGTCCCCAAACTGCTGTCTTCTGAGTTTGGTTCCTTTGGAAAGGCTTGAAGTCAATGTTATATAGTCTTTGGTTTCAGAAATAATAAAGAATTGAGTTCAGTTCCCCATGTTGCCAATTATCAGTTGGGTAAATTGGACATGATACCGATGTTATTTGAGTGTGTTTCCATTCTGTAAGGTAGGGTTTTGAATAAGGCTCTTGTAAAGATTAAATGAGATTATATAGTAAAATATCAGTTAGTAGTGATTGCAAATGGCTCAGTGTTCAACAAATGTCAACACATTTTAGTCTAATTTTCTAAGGCAATATTTGCACAAGGTAAGAAGTCAAAAGGAACCAAAGAAAATCCAGCAAAAACAAAGTCCTCTTCTTCTGTCTTATTCCTTAGATACAGCCTCTGTTGGCCCCTCTCCAGAGCAATCCTTGTTCCCAATTATTGGAGCCTTACCCAGAGAAGTCACTGTTGCCAATTTCTTGTACATTTTTTCTGAAAATCCTCCAAGCATATACAAATTTTATATATTTACCCAGCCTCTTTTTGCTAATCAAATAGTATCTGCTCTTATATACCTTAAATTGGAGCCCCAGGAGACAAGAATCACAGAGATCTCTGGATCACAATTATGTTCAAAGAAAGCCAAGAACTTCTTTCTCATGTGCAGGAA